GTCAGCTCTTTCAGATGCCAAGGCCACAGTCAGGGCTGGGTTCTGGTTGTGATCTCTGTGAAAACCCCTTTGCTTTCTTTCCCAAAGGGCTTTCCCTGCATCCACTCCTGCAGGGACTCAGTGCTGGAAAAGTTTTCCTTTTAAAACAAGTTTTCTGTTGACTGAGACAGAATTGTCAGAGATCAAATCAGGATCTGTAAAGTACTTATTGAGGTATAACAAGGTTTGAAGACTAAATAAACTGATTTTCACTTCGAAACTCCCATGTCAGAGCTCTGCATTCTGCATGGACTTTTCCTGGCTTGACCTAAAATCGGTTTTGCTGCTTAGGGAGGCTCTGAACTCCTTAAGTCACATCAGGTAAAGGAGGTTTCGCATCTTTTCCGGGAGCTCTGGAAGCAAAATTTGTCACTGAAAATACCTTACTGCATCTTGATTGGCAAAAAGATGCTTCAAATGAATGTTTGTGGCAGCAGGAGACTGCCCAGATATTTATCACTGCCATTATTGCAGGTGTGAACTTCTGTTCCTGCAAGGAAAAAGGCTCACATGTTTTATTCTCTTGTTCAAGAGGCAGGGTTTGGCCTAAGGAAATGGAATATTCTGTGTATTCAGTAAAAAATGTGATAAATGGGAACGTTTTGCACTTGTTTTTATCCTGCTGCTGTAGCCACGAAATAATTTTGCCTCTGAAGGTGCTGCTGAATTTACTGCGGGATTTTCTATTACGAGAAAAGAAATGTTTATTTTGATACTGTGAGAAATACATGTATGAATTGTTATACACAGAGAGAAATTTGTGTGCCTTAGGGGGGATTCTGCTTTGTTCTGGGTCTTCCTCCTGCCCTTCCTGGTGTGATGCTCCTGGGAAAAGCTTCAGGAATCAAACTCCTATCAGGATGCCCTGGAAGCTGAAACTTCCATCCGTATCTTTATCTATTTTATAAAATAAAACATTCTTGAAGAGAACAGATGATGGAAGATCCTTTCCCTTATTCATGCTGGATTTTGAAATGCCTTCATACTATAAATTACATAAAATAGTGTTATTAAAGTGAGCGAACTTGTCTGCAGACAAATTGGATTTTACATTTTCTCATGGCAAAAAGATGAAATCTGGGATATTTTGAAGTTGGATTTTTATCTTGTGAGTCTGTAAGCAGTGACAATTTAATGAGTGGCTTCTAGAATTGATAACAATTGATTTTTAGTTCTTTATTTGTTTCTAATATAGAGAGAATACAAGTTGTAAGCAGAGAGAAAACTTCAATTTTTTATCCTTACAAACTCTCTGGGAATTGTGAGGGACTTAAGTTCTTTCCAACAAAGTAAATTCTATGGAAATGTTATGAAAGCCAAAACATAGTGAATTAATTCAAGGGATTTTGTTGGGTTTTTTTTATTATACATTAATGCATTTATTTATTTAGCTGTGTAGTCTTTTAAGGCAATGTAAGGAAAATTTAATGGAAAAAATAAATGAAACTTAGACTTTTGCATCTATTCCTGACCATGGTAACAGGGACATTTTAGTAAGACAACACTGAGTGTAGGTTTGATTTCTCTAGATTTTCTCACTATACATAAAGAGCTTAATATTTCAATTTAAATATTTCACTGGGAGAAAATGGACAAGCCTATTTAAATCAGGATCTTTTATCCCTGAGGGAGACAAGTGTTGGCATGTGTGGTCTCTCCTTCAGGGAATTCTCTTCTCATTCTGGAATTTCTCAGTGTTACTATTACTTGTGGGGATTATTTCAAACTACAATTTCCCTTCTTGTTTCTGTTCAAGAGACATTTGAACATTGAATGTTTTATTTTAAAGGTGATTTAGGAAAATAAGTAATTTTGGAGCATTCCTGTGCTTCTTCAAGCTTTCCTTCAGAACTGAATTTTACAGAAATCAGAAGTAATTTCACAGTTTGGAATAGCATCTTCATTTTTTAAAATAAAAAAGTGTTTCTAAATAATCAGGAATCCTTTCCAAAAAAAAAAGAAAAAAAAGAAAAGAAAAAGAGATGCTTTGGTGTTGGCTTTAGGTTTGTTTTCTTTCAATGGAGCAGAATTTTCACTCATCCTGCTTGGGAGCTGGATGTGGCTTCCCTTTGGGCAGGTATCCTGGACCCCGTGACTTTGCTTTGGGAATACTTCAAACATAGAAGAGAATTGTGGAATCACCAAGGTTGGAAAACATCTCTGAGATCATCAAGTCCAACCTTGCACCTAACCCAGGCCAGCACTTCCAAGGCCACCATTGCCCCGTGTCCCCAAGTGTCACCTCCACATAGATTTTAAATCCCCCTCCAGAGATGGGGACTCCAGCACTGCCCTGGGCAGCTGTGCCAGGCCTGGACAAACCTTTCCACGAGGAAACTCAGCCCCTCAGTGTCCCTCTTGTCCTGTGGCATCCAAACTGTCCCCAAGATCTGAGGTCCCTCAGCAGTGCCAGCACAGGGGACAATTCCTGCTGCCTGTGGTGACACAATTCCTGCTCCAAGCCAGGTGCCAGTGGCCTCTGGCACACCTGGGCACAGCTGGGTTTGTTCCCAGGTCAGGCACCCCCAGGGCCTTTCCCACCAGGCACTTCCCAGCCCTGCTGGCCCAGGGGGACCCTCAGTGCCCCTGGTTTGGGAAGAAACAATCCAGGAGAGGCAGGAATTGCAGTAAACTTCTGGCAAAATGCTTCTCTAGTGGATATTCTTTAATGATCTTCCTCTCTGTGTGACCAGCTCATTTCTGAGCTTTGCAGCAGGGAAAGAGTTCCAGGGTAAAGTCTGCAACTATTTCAGTGAATAAATGGCTGAGAAGTGCCCAGAACAATGGAAACCCCTTGCAGGACTGGCTGGGTAAACACAGCTTTGCAATTATTCCTATGGCTCAAATTGAAATTGATTTTTTAGAGAATTAGGTACCTTTTTTCTATATATTGCTTCAAGTGCTGGTCTGGAGATGATGACAATGATCTCCAAATACAACTAAAGATAAAAAAATCAACTTAAGATTAAAATCTAATCATGCTGTTAGCTATTGCTAACTAGTTAGAGGTTATTAAAAACACCTTGAGTTCAAATATTGCCTCTAAATAATTACAAACCTTTTTTAGCATTGTAATTAGGAGCGTGCTGGCTGCAAGTGATACCTCACAAAGAAAATGGTGACTGGTAGTTGTACTTTGCTCCTAATGTTAAACAGATTCTCCTTCCTGGCAGGTCCTTGAGCACTGGTTTGCAGGTGGGGATCTGCAGATCGGTGTTGGAGCAGGGATGTGTGTGTGTGATTCTTCTTCAAGGAAGAATTCTGTATCAAAGGAAGGGTTTTTATTACCATGATAAACACCAAGATGAGCATGAATCATTATTTTTGTGCAGGAAAACAGGAAGAAGTGTTAATTACTGTTTAAAGACCATCACCCAGTCTGCTCAGCACCACTGTGGGGGCCCAGCCTGAGCTGAAATGACAAAATTTGACAAGTTTCTGTCATTCTAACTAAAACTTACAGCACTACAGAATCCCCTCCTGTTCATGTTCCATTTCTATTTGCTTCTTATATTTATTTTTAACTCCAGCAGCCATTCCAGGTTTTTAACCAGCTCTCCTATTGGCTCCTATCAAGCCCAGTGTTTGCTGTGCCAGGAGCTCGTTAGGCACTGATTTGACAATTAATGTTTGGATTTTTGAGATGGTCCTGTCTTATTTCCATTTCATAGTAGGAAATGTTGTCTTTGTAGAGTCCCAGATTCTGTTCTTGTTAGAAAGTTCTTTTGATGTCCCAGAACAGCAGCTCAGGTGGACTTTCCTTCCATATTCATGGAGTTTGCAGGTGCCACAGAGCTCCCATCAAGTACCTTGGCATCCTCTGGAAAATCCAGTATTCCCACATGGACAAAATCAGTCCTGTAGGAGTTTAGATCTCAGCTTCATGCAGGAGAAAAGCAAATTCCAGGAGTGCTGATCAGGTGGAATTTAAGGTTAACTTGTAAATTCTGTAAATAAGAGGGCTCAGAGCACATGCAGGTGACCCGGTGTCGTTTCAGGTTTAATCTCAATTACTTGGATTGATGTGGAAGTAAAGATTTTAAATTGAAATTAATGCTAACTTAAAGGTAACAATAAAGACCTTTATGAAGAGAAAATTACTGAGTGTTCTCCTGGGCTGTGGCATGGAATAACCTGGAAAACAGCACAGAAAGGGGGATTTGCAATTCTATCAAACCACAGAAAGAATCACTTCTTTTCTAAGTCATTCTTCTGGGGGGTTTACCAATTTTTAATGTTTTTACTCCTGCATTAAGGACCAAAAGAGACGTGGACATCATCAACAGGCTTTTAGCAGAGAGGCAGAGAGGGAAGATGGACAAGAAGCTCCATTTATGGGATTTTACTGCTTCTAGGAGCCTTGGGAATGGGTTGGATTGTTACTACAACCCTTTCACCCACCAAAAGGAAAAACTAAACTTCCTTTAGTCCCTTTTCACTCTTTCTGTGCTTTGAGAAAGATCTGGATGGTGCTGCTCTTCTGGTTTGAGGGAATTCACTGGATTTTGGTGGTGTTTTTTTAAGCTTCACTGTATCTGAAAATACCACGCAGCGAAATGAAAACTTGGGGTTGGTTTAGCTCAGTGCTCAATATGATAATTTTGAAAAGATTTCTTCCTTGATCAGAATATTGACTTTCCAAATGCAAATGCTGATATTGTGTGATATTTTTAGGAGTGCTGTTTATTACCTTGCAGACATTTTAATGTCTGAGCAATTTTTAGATGAAGAATATGTCGCAAAAGCTTCGGTGATAAAGCCATGAAATTGGAAACTGGAAACTTTTTGAGATGGGTTTTTTTTGTTTCCTTGACAGAATTTTGCATATCCATTAATGAATTTTAATGATAGAATTATCTCCACTGCATTCTGTGGTTCTCTCTAGCAATATTATGTTTTGATAGCCAGTATTATGTTGCATTATCCTAAATAATGGATTCCTTTCCTTTGCTTTTTGCCAGGGGAGTTTTGTGGCCTGCATGACAGCCATCCTGAGGCAAATGGAGGATTACCACTATGCCCATTTAATCAAGACTTTTGGCAAGATGAGGTCAGATGTTGTGGTGAGTTTCATTTGTTTTATCTCTTCATAAGATGGCTCACCTTGTTTTTGGGTTATTTTGCTGTTGCTGGTCATTAAATGCACTTGTGAGATGTGAACAAAATGTGTTTGGCATTACAGATTTAATATAAAATAATTATTTAGGCACTGTGTTTTTAGGCACAGGAGTACAGCTGGAACTGTTCAGTATTTTAAAACATGAGACAGTGGATTGAAGGCAATTAAAACAAAGCAGTAAAAACAGTAGTGATGAGACATTGCTAAAAGCTGGTAATGAAAGAAGAAAAAGAATATTAGAAAGGCTTTCTTAGGAAAGGAACTTTCAGTGTTAAATCTTCCAGATGTCCTGATTTTGTTTCTTGAAGCAGCTTTTGCTTAGAGATCTGCTCGCTTTCCCTTCTCCCTTTTATGCAAAACACTTTAACCTTAAAGATGCCCTCAGTTGTTAAATAAGCAATAATAATTGAAATTTGTCTTCTCAGAGTCATTGGGTAGCCTGGCTAAGGCAACAACCCAAGTTAATTAAAGCATAATAGAGGGGAGTTTATAGCTGAGGAGATAACTCTGTAATAACCTGGAAGTGCCACTGCCATATGGCCAGGCAGGGCTGGGAGAGGACTCCCAGCTCCCTGGCTGAGCTCCAGCAGTCAGTGATCACCCATCCCCGCTGCCACCCTGGGGGTGCTCCCACCTGGGCTTGGATCCTTCTTCAGCTTCTCTTCTTCCTCCAGCCCCTCCAGAACAATGCCAGAACCTTTCCTTTGTGCAATTTAACGTTTGGACTTCCCAGTTTGTCTTGAATTGGTGTTATTTGTCTTTCTGCCTCTACTGGGCAAGGTTTGAGCTCTTTGCCTTGTTCCAGTTTGCAGCCTCCTCTTGCACCTGCTCTGGCATCTCTAAAGCTCAGTGCTGCTGTTTTTAAAGGGGAAAGGCAAAGTCCAGCTGTAAATTGCTGGAAATAGGATCACTGCATGGGAAAGGCTGCTTCCCACTTGGATTCCTTTGGGATCTTGGAGCATTTACATGGATGAGTACTGACAGCAGAACATTCCCAAACTAAGTGCAGATAAAGGGCTGAAAAGAGTGGATATAGCAGAAGGAAGAGAAAAGCAAGTCAAGGTCTTTCCTTTGTGTAATTTTCATGTGTGGACTTCCCAGTTTGTGTTGGATTGGTGTTATTCTTCTTTCTGCCTGTACTGAGCAAGGTTTGAGCTCTTTGCCCTCTTCCAGTTTTCAGCCTCTTTTTGCACCTGCTCTGGCATCTCTAAAGCTCAGAGCTGAATTTAAATAATATTCATTAAGGTGTGGCGGTTTATTGGCAGGGCATTGTTAATCCTGTGAGTAAAGGAAACTACAGGCAGTAAATGAAATTTTCTTTCTTTTTGTTTTTCTGTGATTTTTCCAGTTCTTTAACCCAGCAGGTTTTTATGCCACTCTCATTTGACTCAGCCAGTAGAACTGAAATCCAGGAATCTTTTGCTTTTAAATCCAAAGTTGGAGGTGAAAACTGTACCTCCTATTGCAGAGGATTCAGTTTAATCACAAAGCAGTGATTTAGAACTGAGACTAAATTCAGCCAGGCAGAAATGAAAAGCTTTTTCTTAAAAAGAATGGCAAGAAAAAGGGAAAACTTAAGCTGTGGTTTCTTTTTCACCACTGGAGACCCTTAAATCTTCCTTGAGCCTCTGCTCTTGCTCAAGCAGGAGTTGGAAGCTGAGGGCTGGAAGTGCTGGAGGAAACTTTATGGGCTGTGTTATGTAGGTGGCAGGTTTAGATTATTATGATGGTCATATTTGGCCTCAAAAGTCTTCAAAAAGATGAGGTGGAGTGCAATAAAACCAGTCTTTTACCTCTCTGCAGAATAGAGAGTTTAGATTTATTAAGGAATGTCTGTCCAAAGAGGAATTTCTTGCTTTAAGAACCCTTCCAGCCCAAACTCTGCTGTGATTCTGTAAAATCAAAATCGGTGATTCTGCTGTCATCCTGAGATGAAATATTATCTGAGATCAGGGAGGTTATTTCTGGGACTAACTGATTTTTTTTCCTCTTTTTACTTGGTAAAAAATAGTTTTATTTGAGACACATGTGGTTTAGTTGACAAAAGATGCCTGTTAATGTTCTGCCATGTGGAGAATCTCAGGCTGAGCTCAGGCTGTTTCCTTTCCATCAGTGGAAAAAAATTCCTGAGAATTTTTTAGGGGTCTTACCTGCTGTGAATTATATTTCCTATTAAATAGGGTTTGTATTTGTAGTTGGAGAGAGAGCAGGAGTTGTAACCCTTCCTCCTTTAGTACAGATTTTTATATTCAGAAATATTTGTCCTGCTTCCCGTTATTCTGAAAATAAGTAGTTTTTTCTTGTCCTGGTGGCTTCCCTGTTTTCCCAGCCCCTCAAAAACCCTGAGATTTCCTCATAAAATGAGGTTCATTCATCCAAAGCATTTGCTTTTCTACGAGAACCATAAAATGGAAAAAAGAGCAATATTATGAATACATAAACCCCAGGTGAGCATCAGGAGCCTTTTATTTAATCAATAATTAGCTCAGTTGTTACAGAGCATTATTTAAAGTACCTGGGTGAGCGTGGGGTTATTAAAATGTAAATATCAGGGGATGGAAATGCAGAGCTGAATCAGCAAAGTAGGTCAGAACCCCCAGGCTCAGGAAGGAACCAAATCATCATCAATGGAATTCTGTCACCAAAACAATAAAAATCAGCAGGGAAATCTGGAGGTTGAGCTCTTAAACGAAGGCAGATTTTCCTGAGCTGGAGAAGAGGATGTGGGATGAGTGGTGGCAGTGGTGACATCTGAACCAGGAGCAGCTGCAGACTTGCTGTCCATCCATGCCAAAGCAGCAGGATCTGTTTGCTGGGCACAGTGATGCTCCGTGGTGTTTGTGAGGGTCCCAGGACGAGGGAAGAGATCAATCTGACCCCATGCTCTCAGAAGGCTGATGTTTTATATCATGATACCACATTATATTAAAAGAATAAAACTATACTAAACTATACTACAAGAACAGAGAAAGGATACATCAGAAGGCTTAACAAGAATGAATAATAAAAACTCGTGGCTGACTCCTCAGAGTCCGACACAGCTGGCTATGATTGGTCATTAAAAAAACACAATTCACATGGAACCAATCAAACATGCACCTGTTGGTAAACAATGTCCAAACACATTCCAAAGCAGCAAAACAGGGAGAAGCAAATCAGATAATTATTGTTTACATTTTTCTCTGAGGCCTCTCAGCTTCCCAGGAGAAGAAATCCCAGCGAAGGGATTTTTCAGAAAATATCACAGTGACAGTGCTCAGTCACAGGTTGGATTTGGTGGTCCTGGGGCTCTTTTCCCACTGCACAATTCTGGAATTCTGTGATCCTTGCTGATGCTGTGTGCTAAAATGACAGAGGAGCTCTTTCACCAGGCATGTTCTGAACATGGTGGAGCCCAGTACCCTGGAAGTCCCAGAATCCCAGAATAGCTGGGGTTGGAAGGGACCTCTGGAAATCACCCAGTCCAAATCCTGCCAGGGCAGGGTCCAGGTGGGTCTGGGATGGCTCCAGAGACAGGAAATTTCACCTTGCTTTGTGAAATAGAAAACATGGAGAGAGAGAGAATATTTACCAGGGCCTGGGGGGACAGGACACAGGGAATGGCCCCTGGATCCCTGGCAGTGCCCAAGGCCAGGTTGGACACTGGGACTTGCAACAGCCTGGGACAGTGGAAGATGTGGAACAAGGGTTTTAAGGTCCTTCCCACCCAAACCAGGAATTCTGGGGTTCTTGATCTCCAAGCCGTGTCCTCAGGAACTCTGCAGCTCCCTGCATCCACTGATGGGCAATTTCTGAGCCAGGAAAACATTTGAACAGAGCAGTGGATTAAAAGCAAATCTGCTGAAGATCCTGGCTCTCAGAGCTGAAGAAAGACTAATGAGAGCAAGGACTTCAGATTGGTTTCTCACTGAAAAGGTTACACAGAAACCAGTCTTAGCTAAAAGTCCAGTTGATGGAACATATTGGGGATTTTTTTGTAGGCATTTGACATTTTAAAGATAGACCAGATAAATACCATTGCTGAGAAACTGTATCAAAGGGAAGATATTCTAACCTTGGAATAAAAGTTCATTTTTATCTCTGTGTGAAGTGGATCAAGGACTTTCTGCATGCAGTTCTCTTTTCCCCTTTATCTTTCTCGCAGCATTTGATATTACTGAAATTGTTAGATAGCAATTACAGATTGCCAAATTGTAGGAGATGATTTACACTGTAAAGTACACAAAGTTTCTGCTCCAAAGAACTGTGTGTTTATAGCTGTGTGGAAATAAATTGGTTTATGCTGTTAAATTAACTTGTTCTTGGGCAGCCTTTCACTTGCAGAAGCAATTCTTGCTGCTCCCTTTAGGGAGAGTTCCTCCCAATTTTGGGATGTCCAGACCATTTTTGTCCATTGCCCCAGGTGGAGGTGATGATTTGAGCTGGAAGATGTTTTTATTTTAAGACATAAATAATCTTAATTTCTGGAGAATATCCATGAATGGAGGGATTATTAATCACCTGACTCCAGGGAGTATTTTTTGTGCAATCCTAAGAGTTAAATAAATATTTAGCTTTGTTTTGTTCCTCTTTCCATGAACCAGTGTGCTTTTGTCAGCTTCTCAACGGTGTGTCATGACAGGTGTGTCACAATACATGAAGGAACTGGGAGGTTTTGTCCATAGTATGGAAAAAAAGATGTTTTTTCCAGTCAAAACTCCTTTTGGATTACTGGTGAACCAGTGTTTGGCCTTGATGAATCCCATGGGTTGCTTAAATGCGAGATTACTGTTGTTATAATTTCTGAAATGGAATTACTGTAGGATTTATGGGCATCATGTATAAATGTGCTTGAGTAGGATTTAGGTGTGTTTTTTATGAAAAACAGCTTTTTGAGGAACACAAAGACCCCTTTGGAGCGCAGTCATCAATAACCGCCACCGTCCCTTGGAGCTTCTCGGTCTGATTGCCTCCAAATATTATCTCTTCTTTTAGGATTTCCTGATGGAGACATTCATCATGTTCAAGAACCTCATTGGGAAGAACGTCTATCCCTTCGACTGGGTGATCATGAACATGATGCAGAACAAGTGAGTACAGAGGGAGAAGCTCCAGAGCTCTCCCGAGCCGGCGGCTCCGGCACAACTCCGGGGTTGCCTGGAAACAGCAGCTGCAGCCAGCCTGCCCTGCCTTCTCCTCCTCCTCTGATGCAAAGAATTATTGAAAAATTGGCTCTGCAGGAGTGTTGTAGTGGCCTGCTTTATGGCTCTTGGAGTCCACCTAAAATTTAGGGTGGCGTCAGTTTGGGAACCTGGATTTTGGAGCCAACTGCAGGTGCAGTAAAATTCTATCCATATCTTAAAGTAACTCAGTTTATTCTTTGGAGGGTGAACTGCATGCTTTGCATATGACCTCACATTAGGTGTTGTTGTATGGAGTTGTATGTCCAGGAATGTTTTCATTGGTGTTACAAGAAGAATTAAGGAAGCTTTTAAATCCAAACTCCATCACACCAGTAATGTAGAGAGAGGCTGAAAATGTTCCTGATGCTCATTTTTTCCCCAATAATTGCAGTTCTGTCATTATTTAGCATTCCTTTGTGCAGTGCTTTATGCTGGTGACATTTTATTAAGTGTGTCAAATGCTTTTATGTGTACTGAGATGAAAGTATAAGGGAAAAACATTATATTTACCAGTTGCCTGGAGAAATCTCTTCTGCATTTACTGGAAGCTACCATGGCTGTAAAGTTGTCAGCGTTTCCTTATATAAAATCCTGAACCACAGCTCCTGCTCTCCTTATAAAAATGCACCGTAACTTTAATCTTGGCTTCTGAAGTCTCCTTAACTCCCTAATAAAATCTGTTCTGAATAAATAGGAGTCAGGAGACTGAGCCATCCATTCCTGCTGGTTCGGAATGCTTGGGAAGCACCTGCTGTTTGAAAAAAGGAGCACATTGAGAGCTGATGAGGAACATCTGAACCCCTTTGGATTTATTTCTTTTTTTATTAATCTTGGAGGTGGTTTTGCTTCAGCAACTCCAAGTGCATTGGGAGCTGTGTTGGAGATGTTGGGAATCCCTCCCAGCATGTGTTAACTGTGAACAGAACTGTGGGGTTCCTGAAGTTTGGGAGAGATTGAACCAGGAGTGGGAAGGTTTGTGTTTGGACATTCTTAATGCCTTAACTGGCCTTGCTAAGTGGAGACAGGGCAATTACAGTGTGGTCAATACTGTAGGGAGTGTTCCTTGTGTCAGCCCAGCACAGGAGGGACAATGAGCTCATGGACAGGATCCAGAGGAGGCCACGGAGCTGCTCCAGGGCTGGAGCCCCTCTGGAACCAGGCTGGGACATCTGGGGGTGCTCACCTGGAGAGGAACAGCTCCAGGGAGAGCTCAGAGCCCTGCCAGGGCCTGGAGGGGCTCCAGGAGAGCTGGAGAGGGACTGGGGACAGGGATGGAGGGACAGGACACAGAGTATGATTTCAAGCTGACAATGGGTAGATTTGGATGGGATTTTGGGAAGAAATTGTTCCCTGTGAGGGTGGGCAGGCCCTGGCACAGGTGCCCAGAGCAGCTGTGGCTGCCCCTGGATCCCTGGCAGTGCCCAAGGCCAGGCTGGACACTGGGGCTGGAGCACCTGGGACAGGGGAAGATGTCCCTGCCATGGCAGGGGTGGGATGGATGGGATTTAAGGTCCATTCCCACCCAAACCAGTCTGGAATTTTGTTCTCTTCACATTATTGCCAGGTGACCTCTCAATGTTCACTCGGGTAGGGATTTCACCTTGGGTTTTATTTGGCGCTGGGAAATTCTGGCCAAACAAGTGAAAGAGCAAAGGTACAAAAAGAACCTTTCCCTGCCCACGGTTTTTTCCTTAAAGCACAAAGGGATCCTTCCCCCAGGCAGTTCCTCATGGAAAATTTGGAGCAATTCAAAGCATGATAGTTCACATTTAGGACAGAGACTTGGAATTTTTATCCTTAAAAGTAGTCTTGTTTTTTCCCATGCTGAACATGAAGTCCTGAAGAAGCAGAAATGGGATGTGTTGATGATCTTTGATTCTTCCTGTCTCCCCTCAGTGCCTGCAGAGTATCTGAGTAGTATTTAAAGTTAAAAACAAAACCATTTTCCAGTCTTTTTGGTGTTGAAGAGGATCTTCAGATGTCCTAAGGGGGGTTGTCCATCCCTAATTCCCTCATTCTTTCATTCCCATTGCGCCAGCTCCTTCAGAATTTCTTCTCAGTTGATTTCCTTGCTTTTCATTTTTCCTGTTGGAGTTAACGTGGTTTCCTAGCCAGAAAGCTGCATTGTAAAATACCTTGTTTTGTCCATCTGCTCCATTTATTTCCACCCTTATAAAGTTTTACTGAAGAAAACCAGATGAAATTTAAGAACAAATTTTGTCTTTTGAAGCTGTGGCATCCCCTCTGTAGAAACAACTCTGAATGTGCAGTTTTGTGTGTTTTCTGAAAGCACCTCCTTGGGCAGTTTCTGCGTCATCAACCAAATCGAGGGAACTAAATTTTCAATGTATCCATAATTTCATTTGTTTCCTTCATGGAATGTATCTGGTAGTGTGAAACAATGGGAATAAGAATAAAAATAGCTGGAAAATCAAGCTCTAATTAGATCAGTCCTTTAGGAGGTTTCTCCTAAAGCTCCTCTCCATGCAGGGTTTTGCTTCCAAATTAAAATACTCTGGATTAGGCAGTGGCTTCAAATATTCTGGATGAGATTAAGTTACAGCCATGTGGGAAGAGGGGAAATGGAGAAATGCATGTGAACAATGGATTACACGAAATATTTGCAAATATACGTTTAGTTCAAATTTAGTATTCTATTTTTTGACCTTCACCAGTGGGATAAATATATAGGAAAAAAATATATACGAAAATATATATAAAATATATAAATATATTTATATATTTATATATTTTATATATATATATATATATATATAAAATATATAAATATATAAATATATATAAAATATATAAAAATTCTGCACACTCTTTAATAGTGACAGAAATTATTCTGAAACTTTGCCTGCCTGTTTTTGCTCCTTGAAAACATCAGTGTCTTCTCTCCTTTCTGCATCCCAGTTTTGCTGTACCAGGCTCAGTATCACATCCCAAGTTCAGGATCACATCCCAAGTTCAGGATCACATCCCATGCCTTTGTTCCAACACCTCAGGGAGCCACGCTGTGTTCACACCTTTCATGCCAAAATGAACACAAGAAATCTTCATATCTAACAAGAGAAGTCTTCTTTTTTTAATAAAATACTTTATTTACTGACTTGTTTGATGTATTAAAATTCTAATTTTAGCAAGGCAGTTTGTTGATTCAGAGCCCAAGGTGTTGGTGTTACCAATTTGATGGAATTGCCACCAGTGTGTTCAAGGTGACGCTGGTTTGCAGGTGGCTGATCAGCATTTTGGGGGTAAAGGAAGAGAATATTTAAACTGATGCAGCGGCTTTTCCTTTCACTTCCAAATTTTGGTTCAAATCAGCCCCTGGTTTACTGTAAACAACAATATCCAAGGAAAGGAGATGGAAAAAACCACTGAGGGATGAGAGAGATGGATAAGGGGCCATTACATGCACTTTTGAAACAGCTTCTTGTAAGGAGGAGATGAAAATGTCTCATAATTCCTTTTAGGATACTTGTCCACCATAAAATTCCAGCTGTTGTAGGGTTTTCTGTGCCCACATTTTCAGGAAATTCAAGCCATAATATCTGTGCGTAACAGTTTTAAGCAGTCAGGGAGTTTTCCTGTGTTTCTGGCTAGGGTTGGGAAGAGCTTTGGAGGCAGATTCTTCATTCCAGGCATCTCCAGGAAAACACATACAAGGAGTTGGAACTATAAAAGCAGTTACAGAAAAAGGCAGGGATTCTGTGATTTTGTCTTGTTTCCATTTCCCCCATTGAAACCATGTTTCAAAATGATTCTGAAATGTTTTAGAAATTGTTGTTAACTTTTGTCAGAAGCTGACAAGCTAAACTTAGGTTCCTCCTAAACACATAACTCAGAACATGAAAGCAATTCCTCCCTGCGGTTCCGTAAATGAAAATAATTTAGTCTTTGGTCTTACTTTTGGCATTTGAGACAATTCAGTTCCTTTGGTAAGACCTTATGATATATTAATTTGTAGCTGCTACTTTCATCTGCAGCTGTGCCAGTGGAAGCTGAGTTGCCTATGAAAAAGGAATTTGATGTTTGCTGTTCTATTTTTTGTTTCTAATGTCCACATTTACATAAAATACCTTTTTGTTTTGCCTTTTGAAGTCAGAGAGAAAGGGACGAGATGCTCTCAGTGAAAATGAGGGTTCTTGTCTCTGTTGTTTTGTTTTTTTTTCCAGAGGAAATAGAGCTGGCCTGGGGAGGGAATCTGGAGGGTGTTACCTGTTGTGTCAGGGAGGGTTAGGTTGGATTGCAGGAGAAGATTCTTCCCAAAAGGTGGCTGGGCACTGGAAAAGCTCCTCAGGGAATTGTCACAGCCCCAAACTCTGCTCAGCAGCCACAGAAATATTCCTGTATTATGTTCCCAGCACAAATCCAAACCACCACCCCACACGCTCCATGAAGAAAATTCCCTCAACCCCACCCAAACCCAGCCCAGAATCTCAATGAATTTTCTGTGTGAAAAGCCAAACAAAAGCCTTGCAAAGAGGAGGACAAAGGACGGGGGAGCCGCTCTGGATAAACATGTCCTGGAATGTTTATTTTTGGAGCTTCCAGGGAAATGTAGGCAGTTCTGCTGCCTGGTTGTCATAGCAGTACCTGTCAGATCCGTGCTGTGCTCTCAGAATTACCTCCAGTGATGTTTGTGACCATCCATCAGCAGTGGGCAAACCCTGACGTGCGTCGGGAACCGCAGCAACTTCTGCGGAGCTCGGGACCTTCACAAGCAGCCCCTGAGTTTATCCTTCCTGACAAGTCACCCAAAGCCACACTGAAATCCGGGTTTAGCTTATGGAAATTTGGCTTAATGGTGATATTGTGCTGGGTTCGAGGCAGGCTTATGGAAACAAAAGCAGGATGGTTTTAATAAATGTATGAAAATAGGCTCTTTGCACTTACATAAT